AGTCCTAAGTGCAGGACCCTGCACTTATCCTTATTGAACCTCATCAGATTTCTTTTGGCCCAATCCTCCAATTTGTCTAGGTCCCTCTGTATCCTATCCCTGCCCTCCAGCGTATCTACCACTCCTCCCAGTTTAGTATCATCCACAAATTTGCTGAGAGTGCAATCCACACCATCCTCCAGATCATTTATGAAGATATTGAACAAAACCGGCCCCAGGACCGACCCCTGGGGCACTCCACTTGACACCGGCTGCCAACTAGACATGGAGCCATTGATCACTACCCGTTGAGCCTGACAATCTAGCCAACTTTCTACCCACCTTATAGTGCAAAACCTTATAGTATAATCCCACTAGGAGACCATCTACAAGTCTTTGGAAGGTGGTGGGTGCATTCCACAGCCCGAAAGGGAGGACATTAAATTCATACAGCCCGACATGTGTGGTGAAGGCTGACCTTTCCTTGGCAGATTCATCTAGTGGTACCTGCCGGTACCCCTTGGTTAAGTCCAAGGTAGAGAGGAACTGGGCCCGTCCCAGTTTCTCTAATAGTTCATCTGTGCGTGGCATTGGATAGTTGTCTGGGCGAGTTACAGCATTTAGCTTACGGTAGTCCACGCAAAAACGTATCTCCCCATCTGGTTTGGGAACCAGAATCACTAGAGATGCCCATGCACTGCCAGAGGGGCGGATTACTCCCATCTGTAACATATCCTGGATCTTCCGTTCTATAGCAGTTTTAGCTTGAGGAGACACCCGGTAAGGTTGGACTTTAATTGGGTGAGCATTACCTGTGTCAATGGAGTGGTATGCCCATTCAGTCAGTCCTGGGGCGGCTGAGAATGTCGGCACGTAGCTAGTGCACAGCTCCTGGATCTGCTGTCGCTGCATATGCCCAAGGGTCATGGAGAGGTTCACCTCTTCCATGCCACCAGCACTTTTCCCTTCGTAGTAGACACCTTCAGGCCACTCAGCATCGTCTCCTCCCTGGGCTGTAAATTGACAAACCTTTAATTCTCTGGACTAAAAGGGCTTTAGAGAATTACTATGGTACACCTTAGGCTTTCGGTTGGAGGTGGGGAACGCTATGAGACAATTAACAGCTCCCAGGCGCTCCTGGACCATGAATGGCCCTTCCCACAACGCTTCCGTTTTTGGACCTGGAGCGCCTTTAAGACCATGACCTGGTCCCCTACTTTGAAGGAACACTCTCTGGCATGTTTATCATACCAGGTTTTTTTTTTCTTTTTGAGCATCCTGTAGGTTTTCTTTAGCAAGGGCTAGAGAGGTTCGGAGGGTGTTTTGTAGGTTGGTTACAAAGTCCAGAATGTTAGTTCCTGGAGAAGGTGTAAATCACTCCCGTTGCTGCTTCACCAACTGTAATGGCCCCTTAACCTCGTGGCCATATACAAGTTCAAATGGTGAAAACCCTAAACTGGGATGTGGTACAGCTCTGTAGGCAAAGAGCAACTGCTGCAACACTAGGTCCCAATCATTGGAGTGCTCATTTATGAATTTACATATCATGGCCCCCAAAGTTCCATTAAACTTCTCCACCATGCCATTTGTTTGATGGTGGTAAGGAGTGCAAACCAAGTGATTTACCCCATGAGCTTCCCAAAGGCTTTCCATAGTTCCTGCCAGGAAATTAATCCCTGCATCTGTGAGGATGTCAGAGGGCCAACCTACCTTGGCAAAAATGTCTGCTAGTGCCTGGCACACACTTTTAGCCCTGGTGTTGCTTAGAGCTACTGCTTCCAGCTATCGGGTGGCAAAATCCATGAAAGTCAGTATGTACTGCTTTCCTCTGGGTGGTCTTTTTCGGAAAAGGACCCAGAATATCCACAGCTACTCTCTGAAATGGAACTTCAATGATGGGGAGTGGCTGGAGAGGGGCTTTGACCTGGTCTTGGGGTTTTCCCACTTTTTGGCATACCTCACAAGACTGGACATAGGTAAAAACATCCTTGCCCATTCCCTCCGAGTGGAATGACCTCCCCAACTGGTCTTTGGTCCTGTTCACCCCAGCATGGCTACTAGGATGATCGCGGGCTAAGCTCAAGAGCTTGACCCGGTACTTAGTTGGAACTACCAACTGTCTCTGAGGATGCCAGTCATAGAATCATAGAATCATAGAATAGTCTTCCTGGTGTCCACCAGAAAGAGTTTCCTTGTATAAAATTCCTCTTTCTACAACAAACCTGGATCGATTAGAAGAGCTGAGAGGCGGTGTGTTGCTCCATGCCACCGTCCAAGCTCTCTGGAGGCTTTCCTCTGCTTCCTGTTCGGTCTGGAACTGTTCCCTTGATGCTGGAGACATCAGTTCCTCATTGGATTGTGGACCGAAGCTTGGTCCCTCTGGAAGTGATGTAGGGGATGGGGCTGTTTCCATTGACTGTGAACCGCTCTCCGTTGGGGCACTATGTTGGGGTTCAGGCTCCGGCTGAGCCTCTTGTGTAAGGTTATGGGCTGCTGCCGGTTCAGGTTCGGTGGGGCCGTCTGGTGTTGGGGTTGCAAGTACTGGATTCAGTGCGGTCAATGTGTCTGGTGCTAGTTGTTCCGCTGGTTCCAGTTCTGGCTCTGTCTGGGTCTCTGGGACTGGATCCACTACTGCTGTTGCAGACATTGGCATGGGGTCCGGGTCCATCACCTCTGACCGGGTCCTGGTAGAAGTTGCCAGAACAGAGCTAGGCGTCACGGCTGGTTTAGCCTGGCTGCTGGTGACCATTCCCACCCTCTTGGCTAGCTTCACATGATTGGCCAAGTCTTCCCCCAACAGCATGGGGATGGGATAATTATCACAGACTGCAAAAGTCCACGTTCCTGCTCTGGCCCCAAAGCAGAGAAAAAAACTCCAACTGCTTCCAGTTGGAAACCTGCTTTCCAGCAGCCCAAAGGAAAAAAAATTCCCTTTTAAAATCTGTGTTTCTGGTACAAAAAATCTCAAATTGATCTCAAAATGATTTCAAGTTAATCCCACCACTCTGCCACCATGTCAAGGTTCCTTCCCCACTCTGAACTCTAGGGTACAGATGTGGGGACCTGCATGAAAACCTCCTAAGCTTACTTTTACCAGCTTAGGTTAAACTTCCCCAAGGTACAAACTATTTTACCTTTTGCCCTTGGACTTTCACTGTCACCACCAAACGTCTAACCGGGTTTATTATTGGGAAAGAGTCGTTTGGAAACGTCTTTCCCCTCAAAATCCTCACCAAAACCTTGCCCCCCCTTCCTGGGGAAGGTCTGATAAAAATCCTCACCAATTTGCATAGGTGACCACAGACCCAAACCCTTGGATCTTAAGAACAATAAGAAAAGCATTCAGTGTCTTACAAGAAGAATTTTAATAGAAGAAAAAGTAAAAAGAATCACCTCTGTAAAATCAGGATGGTAAATACCTTACAGGGTAATTAGATTCAAAACATAGAGAATCCCTCTAGGCAAAACCTTAAGTTACAAAAAGACACAAAGACAGGAATATCCATTCCATTCAGCACAGCTTATTTTCTCAGCCATTTAAAGAAATCATAATCTAACGCATACCTAGATAGATTACTTACTAAATTGTAAGACTCCATTCCTGTTCTGTCCCCAGCAAAAGCATCACACAGACAGACACAGACCCTTTGTTTTTCTCCCTCCTCCCAGCTTTTCAAAGTATCTTGTCTCCTTATTGGTCATTTTGGTCAAGTGCCAGCGAGGTTATCCTAGCCTCTTAACCCTTTACAGGGGTGAAAGGGTTTTTCCTCTGGCCAGGAGGGATTTTAAAGGTGTTTACCCTTCCCTTTATATTTATGACAGAAGTTTACTTTTGTTGCTGGTTTGGTATATCCTATGGGGGAATAGCCACCAGTCTTGGGGTGTATCTGCCCTATTTCTCAGCAGTTCGTCCTGAATTTGGCATCCTCAGTTGTGACCCACTGAGGCATGGTCACACCCATTATGGCCATTCTTATGCTGTTGTTGTGACGGGTAGCCCCCCACCTTCCAGGGTGCTACCTGATATACTGGGATACATCTGAGCCCGCCTGTTCCACCAGCCTCGGCTCCCTCACCCTTTCCTGCTGAGCCAGGCCCTCAAGCCTCCTCCAGCACACACACAGGTAGGGACACACCCAGCTGCAGAAAGACACAGACACTGAAATCAGCTCTGCGTGGGAAGACTCAGCTCGGGAATTGCCTAGTACTCAAGTGCACACCCCCTCGGGAGTGTAAACCCAAAATTGTACTGTTGTGCACTGCACGGAAACACCCAACCCCACTATGTGCCTTTCCTGTGTTTCCACAATCTGTCTTGAAAGCCTTAATACTCTGATGGGGCTGGCGGAGAGGAACTTAACTTCTGCCCAAATAAATTTGTTAGTCTCTAAGGTGCCACAAGGACCACTCTGAAACTTACCTCTCAGGGTATATGTGTGCAGTGTCTGGGGGTGGGGGTCGGCGCCTAGCACCCAGCCCCAGCACACTTTTAAACCAGTGCCCTTTACTACAGAAAGTGCAAACATGCGGCGCTGGGTGAGTTACTGATGTGACTGCGTGGCACTGAGTGTGCAGCGGGATCTGTGTCGTCAGGCCCTGGTGACCTTCTGTGCCTTCGGATCTGATTGCAGGTTCGGGGACTGTTTGAGAAGCACTGAATAAAAAGGGGCACAAAGAGGGCAGAACATTTCCCTATAGTGCAGGAGTCGCTGGGAAAGATTCTCTGGCTTGTGCTGTTCCGGGGATCGGACTAGGTCTCTTCTGGCCTTAAAACGGCTAGTTGCTATGTTAATTATTATTAATTAGCTGAGCCTGTAATCGTCAGGACCCAGAGCACAACACAAACAGGAATAACTTGTGGGGTCAGCTGGATTTATTGCCACCTCTTGCACTCGCTCTGGCTATGCATTACAGTGGTAGTGCACCAACCCACACTGAGATGCCCTCCCTCTTCCCCTCGTCTGGGTCCAGTGGAGCGGTGGGAGCGTACATGTTCCCAGACGTGAAGCATTCTGTCTGAACTAGTTGGCAGCCATGGTGCTCTCGATCCAGGGCAGCAGGGAGCAGACTTTGGTGTAGACACCGGGTTGGTCCTTCTGGGCACAGCCGATCCCCCAGGACACAATGCCCTGCAGCTCCCCGTTGCAGACCAGTGGACCACCAGAGTCCCTGTGTGTAAGTTGAGAGGAAGGAGATGCCAGCAAATTAAGGGACGGTTAAAGTCACCGTACCTCCCCATCCATTATACTGCATGCAGTCCCCAGGTCCTTCCCCCTGTTTGCTGGCAGGAGGGCTAGAGTCTCTCTAACAGCCTGACAGGGCCGTGGCCATTAGCCCTCACCTGGCATGCATCCTTGCCTCCCTCCAGGTAGCCAGCGCACAGCATGGTGTTGGTGATCATCCCAGGGTAGGAGCCCTCGCACTCTGCGTTGCTGAGGATGGGGATGTTGACGCACTGCAGGTTGTATGGGCTGAACACTGAAAGGTAGAGGGGAATTGTTAGCACTAGGCATTCTCCTCCTTCCCATGCTGCATCCTGGAGGGATAAAATCGCTATCCTGAACACTAGTCAGGGAGGCAGAATACTCTGAATGTGAAAGTGGGCGTGAGCGTGCCTGGATTCTCTCCCTGGCTCTGGGAGGGGAGTAGGGGCTAGTGGGTTAGAGCAGGGTGGGCGTGGGAGTCAGGACTCCTGGGTTTCCTCCCCAACTCTGGGAGGGTGTGGGGTCTAGTGGATTAGAGCGGGGGGGGGGGGGCGGGAGCTGGGACTCCTGGGTCCTATCCTGGCTCTGAAGGAGGAATAGGGGCTAGTGGGTTAGAGTAGGGTGTGTGTGGAGCGGGGGAGTCAGGACTCCTGGGCTATTTCCACAGCTCTGGAGGAGCTCTGGCTTAGTTCCCCCTCTGTAAAATGGGGTTGGGCTCCCTGTGGGGTGGGGAAGGGGCACATGTGAGGATGGTTTAGTTACTGTTGGCAATACCCATCACCTTGTATCTGGCCTTTGTTTTCTCAGGTATGTGAACAAGTGCCTTGTGCTAACTCCATGCACCTGTCGCCGTTCGAGGCACCAGTTCACAGCCAGCCTCAGTGGACACTAACCTCTGGGCTGTGCCAGCTGGCCAGGTCCGAGCAGTGTCAATACAGGGTGGAGGGTGCACAGAGATGGGCTCAGAGCTCATCACTAGGGTTGTGGAAGGGGGCTCCAGTGGGGTTTGGCAGGCCAGGTCAGGGTGCCCCACTTGTATAAAATCCCTGTTTGCTGTACCTCCCCCCAACCCTGCCTCTCCGTGTCTGTGCTTGGACTAGGAGTTCTCTGGGCAGGGACGTCCACAAATGCCTGGCACATTGTGGGCCGTGTTATCAGCAGATGATGGTGTTGAGCAGCCTGGGAGCTCCTGAGACAGAGAGAGGGCTAAACTCACCACCGTCACTGAGGATATTGCCCCATCCCGACACCACACAGGAAGTGCCAGCAGCTGGGCAGGCGGTCGGCAGGGGAACGGGTTGGACATAGGCATCAGTCTGGACAGGGTGGGACAACTTGATGAGCAATTTATTTGAGCATAAGCTTTCGTGAGCTACAGCTCACTTCATCACTGTAGCTCACAAAAGCTTATGCTCAAATAAATTGGTTAGTCTCTAAGGTGCCACAAGTACTCCTTTTCTTTTTGCGAATACAGACAAACATGGCTGTTATTCTAAAAGGGGAAATAGGTTACCTTGCATAATGACTTAGCCACTCCGAGTCTCTATTCAAGCCTAAGTTAATTGTATCCAATTTGCAAATGAATTCCAATTCAGCAGTTTCTCGCTGGAGTCTGGATTTGAAGTTTTTCTGTTGTAATATCGCAACTTTCATGTCTGTAATCGCGTGACCAGAGAGATTGAAGTGTTCTCCGACTGGTTTATGAATGTTATAATTCTTGACATCTGATTTGTGTCCATTTATTCTTTTATGTAGAGACTGTCCAGTTTGACCAATGTACATGGCAGAGGGGCATTGCTGGCACACGATGGCATATATCACATTGGTGGATGTGCAGGTGAACGAGCCTCTGATAGTGTGGCTGATGTTATTAGGCCCTGTGATGGTGTCCCCTGAATAGATATGTGGGCATAGTTGGCAACGGGCTTTGTTGCAAGGATAGGTTCCTGGGTTAGTGGTTCTGTTGTGTGGTATGTGGTTGCTGGTGAGTATTTGCTTCAGGTTGGGGGGCTGTCTGTTATGGGTAAGGACAAAGTCACAAAGTTCAGCCACCAGGTTAGCCGTGACATTATCGGGGATAGTGTTCTTGACGGCTTGTAGTCCATCTTTGTGTGGAATGTTGGTGTAGAGGGCTTCTACACCACGGCTAACCTGGTGGCTGAACTTTGTGACTTTCTCCGTACTCATAACTATTTTACATTTGGGGACAATGTATACCTTCAGATCAGCGGCACTGCTATGGGTACCCGCATGGCCCCACAGTATGCCAACATTTTTATGGCTGACTTAGAACAACGCTTCCTCAGCTCTTGTCCCCTAACGCCCCTACTCTACTTGCGCTATATTGATGACATCTTCATCATCTGGACCCATGGAGAAGAAGCCCTTGAGGAATTCCACCATGATTTCAACAATTTCCATCCCACCATCAACCTCAGCCTGGTCCAGTCCACACAAGAGATCCCACTTCCTGGACACTACAGTGCTAATAAACGATGGTCACATAAACACCACCCTATACCGGAAATCTACTGACCGCTATTCCTACCTACATGCCTCCAGCTTTCACCCTGACCACACCACACGATCCATCGTCTACAGCCAAGCTCTGCGATACAACCTCATTTGCTCCAACCTCTCAGACAGAGACAAACACCTACAAGATCTCTATCAAGCATTCTTACAACTACAGTACCCACCTGCGGAAGTGAAGAAACAGATTGATAGAGCCAGAAGAGTTCCCAGAAGTCATCTACTACAGGACAGGCCTGACAAAGAAAATAACAGAACGCCACTAGCCGTCACCTTCAGCCCCCAACTAAAACCCCTCCAACGCATTATTAAGGATCTACAACCTATCCTGAAGGATGATCCAACACTCTCACAAATCTTGGGAGACAGGCCAGTCCTTGCCTACAGACAGCCCCCATCCTGAAGCAAATACTCACCAGCAACCACATACCACACAACAGAACCACTAACCCAGGAACCTATCCTTGCAACAAAGCCCGTTGCCAACTGTGCCCACATATCTATTCAGAGGACACCATCACAGGGCCTAATAACATCAGCCACACTATCAGAGGCTCGTTCACCTGCACATCCACCAATGTGATCTATGCCATCATGTGCCAGCAATGCCCCTCTGCCATGTACATTGGTCAAACTGGACAGTCTCTACATAAAAGAATAAATGGACACAAATCAGATGTCAAGAATTATAACATTCATAAACCAGTCGGAGAACACTTCAATCTCTCTGGTCACGCGATTACAGACATGAAAGTTGCTATATTACAACAAAAAAACTTCAAATCCAGACTCCAGCGAGAAACTGCTGAATTGGAATTCATTTGCAAATTGGATACAATTAACTTAGGCTTGAATAGAGACTGGGAGTGGCTAAGTCATTATGCAAGGTAACCTATTTCCCCTTGTTTTTTCCTACCCCCCCCCCCAGCCGTTCTTGTTAAACCCTGGATTTGTGCTGGAAATGGCCCACCTTGATTATCATACACATTGTAAGGAGAGTGGTCACTTTAGATAAGCTATTACCAGCTGGAGAGTGGGTTTGTGGGAAGGGGGGGGTGAGAAAACCTGGATTTGTGCTGGAAATGGCCCAACTTGATTATCATACACATTGTAAGGAGAGTGATCACTTTAGATAAGCTATTACCAGCAGGAGAGTGGGGTGGGGGGAGGTATTTTTTCATGCTTTGTGTGTATAAAAAGATCTTCTATACTTTCCACAGTATGCATCCGATGAAGTGAGCTGTAGCTCACGAAAGCTAATGCTCAAATAAATTGGTTAGTCTCTAAGGTGCCACAAGTACTCCTTTTCTAGTTGCTACACCCTTTCCCAGCCACACACTAGCAACAGGCAAAATACAAGGACCAGCATTGTCTGGTCTCTGGGATTTTGTATAGACACTAACTGGATTCAACCTAGTTACAGTGTCATTCTTCCTAGCACAGACAAACTTAGGACCATTCCCTTCCTGGGCTTTAGTTGAATTCAGAACCAACTCTGAGACAACTGCACTATTCTCAACCATCACAGGCTGAAAGACACCTTCTGTCTGCTCCACAGACAAAGAAGAGCCAGAGACACATTCTCCTTTACCAGACACACAGCTTGGGATCTCATTTCCCTGGTCCCAGCCCTGTGTGACAACAGACAACTGCTTGATAAGCTATTACCAGCAGGACAGTGGGGTGGGAGGAGGTATTGTTTCATGATTTCTGTGTGTATATAAAGTCTGCTGCAGTTTCCACGGTAAACATCTGATGAAGTGAGCTGTAGCTCACGAAAGCTCATGCTCAAATAAATTGGTTAGTCTCTAAGGTGCCACAAGTACTCCTCTTCTTTTTGCTTGGAGACTGGAGAAGCTCCCTCCATAGGCAAGTCAATACCCCTAACAGACACAGGCACATTTCTTTCACTAAAAAGAAAAGGAGTACTTGTGGCACCTTAGAGACTAACCAATTTATTTGAGCATGAGCTTTCGTGAGCTACAGCTCACTTCATCAGATGTTTACCGTGGAAACTGCAGCAGACTTTATATACACACAGAGAATATGAAACAATACCTCCTCCCACCCCACTGTCCTGCTGGTAATAGCTTATCTAAAGTGATCAACAGGTGGGCCATTTCCAGCACAAATCCAGGTTTTCTCACCCTCCACCCCCCACACAAATTCACTCTCCTGCTGGTGCTAGCCCATCCAAAGTGACAACTCTTTGCATAATCAAGTCGGGCTATTTCCTGCATAGATCAAGGTTTTCTCACATCCCCCCCACCCCCATACACACACAAACTCACTCTCCTGCTGGTAATAGCTCATCTAAACTGACCACTCTCCAAGTTTAAATCCAAGTTAAACCAGAACATCTGGGGGGGGGGGGGTAGGAAAAAACAAGAAGAAACAGGCTACCTTGCATAATGACTTAGCCACTCCCAGTCTCTATTTAAGCCTAAATTAATAGTATCCAATTTGCAAATGAATTCCAATTCAGCAGTTTCTCGCTGGAGTCTGGATTTGAAGTTTTTTTGTTTTAAGATAGCGACCTTCATGTCTGTGATTGCGTGACCAGAGAGATTGAAGTGTTCTCCGACTGGTTTATGAATGTTATAATTCTTGACATCTGATTTGTGTCCATTTATTCTTTTACGTAGAGACTGTCCAGTTTGACCAATGTACATGGCAGAGGGGCATTGCTGGCACATGATTGCATATATCACATTGGTGGATGTGCAGGTGAACGAGCCTCTGATAGTGTGGCTGATGTTATTAGGCCCTGTGATGGTGTCCCCTGAATAGATATGTGGGCACAATTGGCAACGGGCTTTGTTGCAAGGATAAGTTCCTGGGTTAGTGGTTCTGTTGTGTGGTATGTGGTTGTTGGTGAGTATTTGCTTCAGGTTGCGGGGCTGTCTGTAGGCAAGGACTGGCCTGTCTCCCAAGACTTGTGAGAGTGTTGGGTCATCCTTTAGGATAGGTTGTAGATCCTTAATAATGCGTTGGAGGGGTTTTAGTTGGGGGCTGAAGGTGACCGCTAGTGGCGTTCTGTTATTTTCTTTGTTAGGCCTGTCCTGTAGTAGGTAACTTCTGGGAACTCTTCTGGCTCTATCAATCTGTTTCTTTACTTCTGCAGGTGGGTATTGTAGTTGTAAGAAAGCTTGACAGAGATCTTGTAGGTGTTTGTCTCTGTCTGAGGGGTTGGAGCAAATGCGGTTGTATCGCAGAGCTTGGCTGTAGACGATGGATCGTGTGGTGTGGTCAGGGTGAAAGCTGGAGGCATGCAGGTAGGAATAGCGGTCAGTAGGTTTCCGGTATAGGGTGGTGTTTATGTGGCCATTGTTTATTAGCACTGTAGTGTCCAGGAAGTGGATCTCTTGTGTGGACTGGACCAGGCTGAGGTTGGTGGTGGGATGGAAATTGTTGAAGTCGTGGTGGAATTCCTCAAGGGCTTCTTTTCCATGGGTCCAGATGATGAAGATGTCATCAATATAGCGCAAGTAGAGTAGGGGCTTTAGGGGACGAGAGCTGAGGAAGCGTTGTTCTAAATCAGCCATAAAAATGTTGGCATACTGTGGGGCCATGCGGGTACCCATAGCAGTGCCGCTGATCTGAAGGTATACATTGTCCCCAAATGTGAAATAGTTATGGGTAAGGACAAAGTCACAAAGTTCAGCCACCAGGTTAGCCGTGGGCAGGACAGTGGGGTGGGAGGAGGTATTGTTTCATATTCTCTGTGTGTATATAAAGTCTGCTGCAGTTTCCACGGTAAACATCTGATGAAGTGAGCTGTAGCTCACGAAAGCTCATGCTCAAATAAATTGGTTAGTCTCTAAGGTGCCACAAGTACTCCTTTTCTTTTTGCGAATACAGACTAACACGGCTGTTCCTCTGAAACATTTCTTTCACTGTTACAATTCTCCACCCAGGTAACCGGTAAGCAACAGGGACACTCATCTTCCACTGTCCTTGCCTTCCCCAACTGCTGACTAGACAAAGCCATCAGCTCACAAGGCTGCCTAGGCTCATCCAGACTTTCCTTACCAGGCACATTGCCACTCCCCACAGATAAACTGCTGCTCTTCTCACTACCCTGAGCTACTCCCAGCAAATCACAGTTACCCTTTCCAGATTCACTTTTACAAACTGTACTAGCCAAAAAGAAAAGGAGTACTTGTGGCACCATCAAAAATCTACCCTTTCCTTTCTCAGTTAGGGCTTTAACCTGACCATCCACTTTAATCTGCTCCCGAGAAACACTGTCCTGACCAATGAGTTCTTTCTGTGCTTGATCTAATTCCAGATTCACTTCGGAGACATTAGACAGACATTCACAGACAAACTGATCTTTTCCTCAGACAAACATTTGGAGAAACCCTCCCCAGGCAAATCATTGCCCATAATAGACACAGGTTTAAGATCATTCCTTTCCTGTGACTGGCTACCTGGACTGAACAAAGCTTTAATATTTTCCCCAATCAAAAGATCCTTAGGCAATAACTTCCTTACACCAGCTATAACTTCATGCTTAGTACCATTCCATTCAAGGTGGATTCTGGCTAAAGGCACATTTACAGTAAACTCACAGAGGACAACAACATTCAAACTCTGATTTGGTAAGTAATCTTCCTCTTTGACGAGATCTGCTTTAACAATAATGATGTTAGAAGCCATAATTTGCCCTAAATAGATTTTACCATTAACTTTTACACTCTCTATGAAAGGTTTCAGAGTAACAGCCGTGTTAGTCTGTATTCGCAAAAAGAAAAGGAGTACTTGTAGCACCTTAGAGACTAACCAATTTATTTGAGCATGAGCTTTCGTGAGCTACAGCTCACTTCATATGTTTCATGTTCTCTGTGTATATATAAAGTCTGCTGCAGTTTCCACGGTATACATCTGATGAAGTGAGCTGTAGCTCACGAAAGCTCATGCTCAAATAAATTGGTTAGTCTCTAAGGTGCTACAAGTACTCCTTTTCTTTTTACTCTCTATGAAGTTTCCACTACCACTTCCATACAGAGCATTGGCACAATTTATGGGGACACCCTCTACTGAACTCACAGTAACAGCATTTACATAAAAGGTGGCAGTGTTGGGGTACATTTGGTTACACCCAGACAACTGCTCAGAGTTATACAACATACCAACATTGTTCTATACTGGACTTTCAAGAGGATACAATTTCTGCTGTTCTTCCCTTGCTTTTTTGACTTGGAGTTGAAATCTTTCCTCTTTTGCCTTAGCTTCTAGTTCCTGCAATCTATTTTCTGCCAGTCTTTGTTCATGGTCAAGTTGCAGTTTACTTGCTGCCTTTTGCATTCCAATTGCTTCTGCAGCTTCTGTAGCATCAGGTGAGAGCTGTGCTCCTGCCTCTGATCACTGGCCATTAACAGATTTCTCAGTTCTTGATTTGTAGCTTTCTTTCTAAAACTTATCCCCTTTTCTGAACACAGATCTTCCAGGGCATTTTTGCCAACGCCCTTATATGCTCTTTGCTCACCCATTGCAACTGCTCTTTAACCAACCAAACTCTCAATACCAAAATTCAAATTTGGATAGCGTGGGGTTCTGACCCAAAGCTTAATTGACCTGGTTCTGTGGATCCTCCCGACTACGCCACTGTAATGATGCTGGTTCTGATGGGACCCAACTGAGAGTGCCAATTCAGGACAAATTGCTTCAAGCAGGGCAGTTACAGCCCAAGGCTGGGGTTTTTCCACCTCTAAGGCAAATCAAATCAGCCAAACAGAGCAGACTTTGGTCTCACCCCACTGGCTAACCACAAGTCACACAAGCAATTCCCTTCGACACTCCAGTTTCCCAGTATCATCACCAGTGCCACTCGTTACGGGGACAAATGGTGATGAAAACCAATACCCCAGTAAAAGAAAAAAGGTTCTCTTGATCCCAAAAGACCAAGCCCCAGACCCAGGTCAATATACAAATCAGATCTTACCCACAAATCACGCTGTTGCCAATCCTTTAGAATCTAAAATCTAAAGGTTTATTCATAAAAGTAAAAAGATATAGATGAGAGCAAGAATTGGTTAAATGGAATCAATTACATACAGTAATGGCAAAGTTCTTGGTTCAGGCTTGCACCAGTGATGGAATAAACGGCAGGTTCAAATCAAGTCTCTGGAGTGCATCCACAGCTGGGATGGGTCATCAGTCCTTTGTTTAGAGGTTCCGTTTGTAGCAAAGTCCCTCCAGAGGTAAGAAGCAGGATTGAAGACCAGATGGAGATAAGGCATCAGCCTTTTATCGTCTTTTCCAGGTGTAAGAACACCTCTTTGTTCTTACTGTAGAAAATTACAGCAAAATGGAGTTTGGAGTCACATGGGCAAGTCCCTGCATACTTTGCTGAATCACAAGGCCTATCTGCCTTCTCTCAATGGGTCAGTTGTATAGCTGATGGTCCTTAATGGGCCATCCAGCAGGCTAGGCAGAGCTGACATCAACTTGTCTGGGGTGTCACCCAGAAGCATACCATAAGTTTGAAATACAGACAGTATGGAGCCAGTATTCATAACTTTAACTACCAAAATGATTCAAACATATAGACAGCATAATCATAACCAGCAAACCAAAACCTTGTCTTAGACACCTTATTTGTCCCCCTTTATACAAGATTTGGTGCCACTACAGGACCTTAGTTGCAACAATGATCTATACGTTCCCAGATTATGTCAATAACGTCACAATAGTTACTAACCCTGGTCCCTAAGTGTCTGCTAATAACCCGAGTCCCTGGGCCTTGGTTACCATGGCCTGTGGCCCTGCCGAATCCTGGGGCTGACACTTGAGTACTAAACTGGGGCCAATTGCTGTCGAGGGGAGGCTCACCATGCTCTCACCTGGGTGTGAGGGGCAGAGGTGCTGGATCTGTGGGTGCCTCACTGGGTCTGCCAGCTTCTGAGCACGCCCTCCTGCTGCCCTAGCTCCATGGGCCCCATCAGCATCGCTGAGGAGTGGGGGTAGTAGGGTTAGCCTGTAGAGCCTGTTGCTGTTGCATGTGAGGTCTGCGGATGCTTGAGGGGTGAAGAGCTGCATCATGCTCTCTGGGTATTTCCTCACTCCTGTGCTTCCCCCTCAATAGCTGGCTGCTCCCAGCCAGGTTGCCTCATTCCCATCTCCCTCTCACCCAGCAGTGGGAAGAACCCAGCCCCGCTGGGATTCTCAGGCCCGTTGTGAACCTGTCTCCTCCCCCAAATGCAGTGAGCACTGGGTCTGACTCTGAGGCCAGTGCATGAGAGCGCAGAGGGAAGTAACCTCTCGGCTGTTTCACCCCAGGATGAGGGCATGTGGCAGCTGGCTGGTTTCTCAGGGTTACCAAGGAGGAGCCAGAGGGGGGACCTCACCAAGGCCAGTCAGCTCTGTGTTCTTGGGGAACCAGAGCGCAGTATCCAGCCTGTCTGACTCATGAAGGACACCCCCTCCCCAGCCTCTGCTTGAACCAAAACTGATCAGAGAAAAGACTTGCAGAGGGCAGTGAAGGGCGGTGGGAGACACACCTAGACTCCTCCTGACAAGGGTGATAGGATTAAGGCAACTCCCCTAGCCTCATCTGCATCAAAGATGGGACAGAGAGGCATCTCCATTAGCATACAGAATGGAGAACAGATATTCCAAGCCAAGAACTGCACTGAACTCTGGGACCAGAAAAGCAGGGAAGCACTGCATCATGGGGATCTCTGCTTCAGATGTTAATGAACCTACCCCTGCTCAGCAGTTATCAGACCAATTCTAGTAATGAATCCTTGATTGATATCCAAAATACTGAAGCTGCCTAATTGCATTGTGAGCTCCCTGGAAGGAACACCACCCATAGCCAAGAGTGACCAGCTCCTATTGTCTAGCCTAAAGAAAACCCTTGAGTCATCAGTTTACCCATAAACAAATCTAGTGTTCTCCCTTGAACCGTTGTTGTTTCCCTACACAAAACCCTATCCACGCTCAAGTAAGTGTTCTGATGCATGGACCCAAACTCTGTATCAGTTCCACTGGGATTTCATCTTCTCCTGACTGATTGTACTCGGGCCTCTGCCTGTCTCCAGCACTCAGGACCCTGAGCTACCACCATCACCTGGGAACCCTGACCAGTTCAAGCTTCGTGGAGTGGTGAGATCCCTCTCTTTCTCTCTCTCTGTTTTCTTTTCTACCTCAGGTATAACTTTCTAACCCTGACTTGTTTGATCAGGTATAGATTTCTATATATGACTTTTGTAACCTTTAATAATGTAACTGTTCTGTTTGTTTAGGCTCTCCTTGTTTAGTTATCACTATTATTCAATAAATAACTTTTATTGTTAAGCTGGTTGCGTCTCTCTCTCTCTCTCTGAACTTTACTCTTTTGTGTTTTTTAGCTTCCCCATTTACTCTGCTGCAATGCTTCTCTTACCTAAGCTAAAGATCCCTGTAGAGCCCAAAAATACTGTGGGGTTTGCTCATCAAGTGGGTTACTACCAGTACAATTGTAACGTGAAAGTTGGGATAGGGACGTACTGAACCTGTGACATATGAGGGTGGCAGCTTGGAAGTGCTGCTCAACCCAGCCCATTGAGTCCAGGGACATATAAGGGGTCAGCTTGAAAGTGCTGATTGACCTATTGCACTCAGACTTGGGATGTCCGTGTGAGTGTAGGAACCCAGCCCTAGGTCCTGCAGAATAGCTCCGTTGGGGGGGACTTGTAGAAGGGAGTAGAGCTCCATACGCAAACACAGGTGACACAAGCAGTACATTAATAGAATTACAGAACACCCCCCATTATTTATTATTTACAGAAGAGTAACCCTAGTAAATAAGCATACCCCAAAGTAACAGGCAAATCTGGTAACAGTCTCCCTCTTACCCAGCAGTGGGAAGAACCCAGCCCTGCTGGGATTCTCAGGCTGGTTGTGAACCTGTCCCCTCCCCCAAATGTAGTGAGCACTGAGTCTGACTCTGAGGTCAGTGCATGAGAGTGCAGAGGGAAGTAACCCCTCAGGATGAGGGCATGTGGCAGCTGGCTGGTTTCTCAGGGTTACCGAGGAGGTGCCAGAGTGGGGACTGCACCAAGGTAACCATCTGCTGAGAGCTTCTCCATGGAATAAACCCAACCTGCCCAGCCTCTCTGATGCCAGCCAATCTTCCTGGCCCTCAGCCTGCTCCACAGCCCAGCTACTGTCTTTGACCCCCCCAGGGGATGGAGGGGGGCAGAGGATTGGGGGGAAGCTGCAGTGGAGACAGGCTAAGAGGCAGAGAGCCTGGTGTATGATTGGAGCAGGATGTGGATGAGATGTGAGCGGGGAGAGGGGGAGGATTCTGTCTTGTTGCAGAGGAAGAAGGTGAAATTCCCATAGGGGGGAGGATCTATGGACTGATGCTGTGGGCATCGCCCCCCAGCATAACTAACGTGCTCAGGTTCAGATGCACCTGTGCAGTCACTCTGGCTCCCCTAGACTTGTTGGGCCATACTCCATGTGGACATGGGGCAAATTCAAACTGGGAACCGCGATGCCCATATGTTCATAGGACACCTTGCATGGCTGCAGAGCCATTTATTTTCAGGTGCTTTGCACTAGGGCCAAGAAGACCTAGCCTGGGGACAAGGCCCTGCTGTGCCAGCCCCTGCTGTATGATAACAAGGTAGTCCCTGCCCTGAGAGCTCACAGTCTGCATGTGAATACTCATGGAGCACTCAGCCAGGAGCTGTAGCTGGGGGAAGGCCACCTTTCACAGCTGCTGCGGTTCTGTGGCATGGGACTTCACACCTCCACCAGGGGTCTCCACTCCTCCACACACCTCCCCTCTTGAATGCACCTGTCCCCAGTGTGACGTTGTACTCTATATGATTTTATGAAAATATGCTGATGAGTGTGACTATAATGTAACTAAAATATGCTCCATGCAAAAGGTCTCTTGCAAGATATCATTACAAAGCTTATAATCTACTGAGTGTAGTCATCGTATTTGTATAAATGGATCACTCTTGTATCTGAAACTAGAAATATGAAATATAACTCTGAGGGCCTATTGTAATTACGCAAAATGTGGGCCATTCATGGTGGTTTGGAATCTTGATGGCTCCCAGCAGCCAGGACAATTGACTGTGGATGGCTCTGTTTGCAGGCAGGCCTTCCTGTGAGTCAGACTGGGAGGGATGAAGGCTTGGGGTCTTACAGTGACATGTGACCATGTCACCTGAATTGGAATCCATCGTTAACCTGGTGCTTTTCCATTGAGAAGGAGGCATGGGAACCCAGAGGGACAAAAGATTTCCGCCTTGTGCAAAAGATATATAAGTGGGTGGAACAGACCAAAGGGGAGCCATCATGAGGAATCCCCTAGCTCCCACCTGGGCTGGAACAAGGGCTGTACCAGGGGAAAGGATTGTGCCCAGACTAGGAAGGTGTCCAGTCTGTGAAAGAAACTTATTGACACATCTCTACGGGTGAGATTTTATCTGTATTCAGTTTTATTACTGTACTAGACTTAGACTTGTGTGTTTTATTTTATTTTGCTTGGTAATTCACTTTGTTCTGTCTGTTACTACTTGGAACCACTTAAATCCTACTTTCTGTAGTTAATAAAATCACTTTTTACTTATTAATTAACCCAGAGTTAATTAAGGGGGCATACAGCTGTGCATCTCTCTCTGTCAGTGTTATAGAGGGTGTATAAGCTTTATACAGGGTAAAATGGATTTATTTAGGGTTTGGACCCCATTGGGAGTTGGGCATCTGAGTGTTAAAGACAGGCACACTTCTGTGAGCTGCTTTCAGTTAAGCCTGCAGCTGTTAGGGGACGTGGTTCAGACCTGGGTTGGGTTTGCAGCAGGCTAGCGGGTCTGGCTCAAACCAGGCAGGGCACTGAAGTCCTAAGCTGACAGGGCAGGAAAGCAGGAGCAGAAGTAGTCTCGGCACATCAATTGGCAGCCTCCAAGGGGGTTTCTGTGATCCAACCCATCACACCCGGTTGCCATCTGTGGTGACTGATATTTGTAAAATGCTTTTACAACACTTGCCCTGCAAGGAAGAGCTGGTGACTCCTCGAGGAAATGGGACAGAACCCAGGAGTCCTGTCAAAACCCAGGCAAAAATCTTACTGAAGTGGATGAGATTCTCAGTGACTTCCACACTAGGGACATGCTATAGATTGCCAGCCTCCTAGGCTGTTCCCCATGAGTCCCAGCCCCTCACCCCATACAATGCAGCAGGGGCATCTGCTGGGACTACAGCTATCTGCAGCCAATTCGTAGCTCAGACTTCCTGGGTGCCCTTGGGCAAGTCACTGAATCTCTCTGCAGCTCAATTCCCCAGCTATAGAATGGGGACCTGGCTTTGTCAGTTTCATCTGGAAGCTCTTTTGGGCTGGGTGTGTCACTCGCTGTGTGCTGTGCAGCACCAAGCCCAGCAGCGGCCTCCTGAGCTTGCTGTCATAATATTCATCTAATTATAACTATATCAGTATGGGATTCAAGCGCTGATCTGGGCTAAAAATGCCAAGTATTCAGCAGGATGTAGGAACTGAGTTTTATTGATGAGTTGGGATTTCAGACCCGCATTTGATGTGTCTCTCCTAAGCTTCTTGTGTCTTCCTTACTGGGTTTCTTGGCATCACGGCAGGCCCCCTATTTTACTGAGAAGGTTTCAATCACTTTTATCCAGGCAGCAGGCGAAGTGGGACAGGGGAGGTCTGAACATGTCAGTTGTTGGCAATGACCTCCTCAATCCAGGACACGTAGTTACACACTGTGGTATAGACACCAGGGTAGTTCTTCTGGGCACACCCGTTGCCCCAGGACACCACCCCCGTCAGCTCTCCATTACAGACCACTGGCCCACCAGAGTCTCCCTGCAGGGAACAAAGAGTTGTGCAGGTCTCTTCATGACATTAGAATCTGGCAAGAGAACTGTGCCCAAGCGAGTTGGAGTCACCGCCTAGGGCTGGATGTGGCTGTCAGCCCAGGTCCAGGTGATG